CTAATCCTTAAATGCCCTTAAGTGATATAGGAGGATTCATGTTTTAATTCAAGATCTACGAATTATTTCGAAACTTTTTGCAGTGTTAACATCTGCAATGAGGAATTATTGCTTTTAGTTGGGGGTAGTAGCGAATATTTGACGAGTTTCTTGGAAAAATGGCAAAATTTTTTTGATTTAAATCAGGTATAGCGGATTTCTAGACTATCAGTTCACTCGAAATAAAACATGATTTACCCTTGGTCGCATTTGGCGATGAAGCACTGATGTTTGCATTCTCCAACAATGAAATGAGGAAGCTCGCGATGCCATAAAATTCCACTTAGGCTTGCCACTCAATAAAAGATAATGAGATTCGAACGAGGTGGAAATTGCAATTCTGTCTGGTTGTGTATTCCTTTTATCAGAACTAATAAAGTGTAATTTAATGGCATCTTGAGGCGTTTTTATATGATTTCAACCACCAGTACTTCATCACCTAATGCTATCTAGAGTGAATAGAATATTTCTTCAAAGCTCGCTGATGTTATCGAAACCTATTCAACATGAATAGAACTGTCAGATGGCAGATAAAGTCAAATAATCGCTTTAATGTGCCTCGAATTTCAATGTAGAATAAGATTTAGTTTAAAAGAATGCCTGCATTGGTGTTGGCGAAAAGTGAACAACCATTACTTGGGATCGTACAAGACGTCCTCGGTTCATTGTCTTATGACTTCGAAAAATCCATCCAGACGCGTCGTTTCTATCATGTAACAGACATCGTCAGAACGATGAGACAGACTTGATGAAAAAATGCTCCAATTCGTTCGAAATGGAAGGGAGACAGATCCTTCAAGAGCCAACTTTTCTTCATATATACCAAATATTTGCTCTCTATCAACACGATAAGCAACATTAATGATCTGCAAATCAAACCACCATATTTAGATTAGAAATCGTGCGTAGATTGTGATTAAGAGATTGAGTCATCTCTGACGCAAACAGCCAAGGTGGTTACCCACCTTCACTTCTCCATCCGTCATCATACTCCATGTCCATGTCCATCTACTCCTTCTCCTCCTCCTCCTACTCAGATCAACATACTCTTTTGGCAGAAGAAAGACGGCCTACAGCTCTACGATCACAACTCAAAGGAAATTTTCGCTGGTCAAAGTATGCTTAAGTTATGAATGTGGACAGAAGGCTCGTTCAAGAGTTGCCTAGGCGGCTCCAAAACACGATAAAGAAGCACGTAAAGTCATCATGCCGATGCCACAACTGCACATCGGCACAAGTAAACCCAGTCTGGTCACGCTGTGTGCCCTCCAATGTCTGACGAACACAAAGGATTTGGTACAGATACGTGTTGAAGGATGAAAACTAGGCGGGTGGAACATCAATCAGCCCAGACTAGGATGTATTATTCTTTTAACAACCATCTTCGATTCGTCTTTCTCCTGGCTGTTGTGCTTAATGCACATTTAATGCCACACACACACACACACACATATATATATATATATATATATATATGCATGTGCACAAGAATACACAAATCCATGAGCTTGGGTGATGGTGTCCGTTTCTTATGAGGTCATTTTGAGGGCCAGTGATTAGTTATTGTGCCCTGATTTCGAGTCCCACACCCGATTTGGCTACTCGTGCGAAGTCGTCTTTCTGTTGGGGCTCTCGACGTTCGGCTTTCGGTTGGGCAATCGACACCGACGTCTTGAGGTGGGGAGACTCGTCTAACGAGGCCAGCGGGCACGGCCTACTCCGCTCCTCAACCGCGGCTGGTACGACTCGAACCAGCCGTTCCGAAGCCTCTGGCCGAGCCTGGCCTCGGCACACGGTCTGCTTCGGTTGATGATATAGACAAAGGTATGCATAAATAAATAAATATTTATACATTTATGTTAGGCGAGACAAAGCAAAGTTGCGCGCTTGTAATCCGGCATGGGTAAAAACGTCAAATTCAGCCCATGCCAGTGGTCTGTATGTCTTACCAAACAAGGACATAATTAAATACTAAAATAC